AGAATTTTTAGAAGCTTGGCATTCCAGTGAATCATCAATCAATAGACACATCGAGATAGACAAAAGTTATCAACCAATAAGAAAGAAACTTCATACACAAAGGGTCAAAGTTCAAGTCAAAGAAACAACCGGTTCCAATACAAGTAACCTAGAAGGTGTGAAAACACACACAAACAACCAATCACGTCCAAGGTCACCAGGAGGAATGATTAATAAACTCGTGGAGAAATCTAAAAGCTCACTTCAAATTGAAGTATGCGCTGAAGATGTCACCCAGTAAGGTGATGAAAGCTTCGCAAACTAACCATCCAGCTCAGAGAACAAAACCACATCAAAATCATCCACCTGAGCTACAAATCTTCTCTATCATAACTACCTTCAAATCAGCCAAATCTCTACAAAACAATACTTGAATATCAATGAGATGCTCAATGGCGACTGGCCTTATTTAGGTAGGTAGTTACCTGGGGTTCTAGTGAAGAGTTGTGAACAGTAGGGTACAGCGGGTCAGGTGTGAGAACAAATACTCACCGAAGACATTGGCGGAAGTTCGAATTCATGGGCCGTTAGATCGGGTCCAAGTGGCTTAATGGTATACGAGCCCGCCAGCCTTGTAACGAGAAGGTTCTGGGTTCGAACCCCAGTAGGTGCGTACTGATGAAGAGTCACAAACTAGGACGAAGCAGCTGTCGAGTACTCCCATGTTTTTCAATGGTTCTCTGACCAATGTCAGCTCATTATCGAATCCTGTAACCAATCAACCCAAATCCCTACAAGCCAACACTTGAATGTTATGGTTTTGTTTGTTAAAATTTCGCTACTAAGTCTATTGCAATCTGATGTCACATATTGAAATAGGAAAGAGCCATCGACTTTGCGTACAAAGATTTTCTCCAGCATGAAGTATTCCACTGACTTTGTCTCATAATGAACAGGCCTAAATGAGGAAATTAAAAAAACCATGGACAATAATACGAAAAATGTCAACAAATGACCTATTAATTTATATGAAGTTATCTTCAGGTAAGTCAAAATGGGTTAATCTAATGCATAAAGCTAATAATCTTATCAGCATGTCTGGCACTATCAAAATTCATGAGGCAGGATACTCTATTTGGGTCAATAATTGACTTTAGGAGCACCTCGACATACGAGTAATCCAAATAATTAGCAAAATTATTATGCCCCATTAGAGATAGATCAGCGTTTAGGTTAACTAATTCCTACGTAATGAAATACAAACCAGTTGCAATTCAATTGGTAAAGGATGAAAAATTTATTATTTTGGAGATAACCAGTTTGTATACTAATATCTCAATCAGTACAGCTCTGAAGGCAGTTGGCAATGAAATCCGCATTGATCCTGAACTCAATGTTAGGACTGAACTGTGGGCTGGTGAAATTATATTAGATATTTCGTTATGTTTAATCTCCTCTGCATGCAAATATGTAAATAAACTGTATGAACCAATGAATGGCGTGGTGATGGGATCACAAATTTCCCCTGATTGTAGCAGTGGTATTTATAGATAGTTGAGAACATAAAGCCATTAGGAAGTTAAGTCCTTCTTCCAGGTTGTAATAGGGAAATTTAGATGTAGCATTCGTTGTGTTGAAATCTGAGCATAACTAGTAAGCCAGAAGATTCAAATAATGAAGTAAAATAAATTATGGTAGCATTTAAAATAACCAACTAACTCAGGGATAAACTCTCTAGCTTTAATGGTCCAATATAATAGGGAAGAATAAGATAATTTACTAAATGCCACGTAATAACTATCAGAGATGTTACGTTAGACAAACTAATAGATCAGGATCAAGTAGATTATTGGAACACAAAAATTTAGTTAGATCTACAAAGATTGACCCTGCTAAGTTAAATAACCAAGAAGGAAGGTTAGATATTGCATTGCAGAAAATACGGTGAGACAGGGTGAAATTGTTGATAAATAACATATTTAGCTGGGGAGAGAGGTGGCTCACTGAATCTCTGTCTACAAATTTAACATCTCACACGTTCAAACCAGATGATGATACGCCCATAACGGAGATCTGTGAACTAGCAAGAAACATCGACTGGAAGTGAGAGATATGTCTATAAAACAAATCACGAGCCGCAGTGTCTAAACTGATATGAATAAGAGCGATAAATTCTGCTCAAACTGTCCGCCAGTTAATAATACCACATATTTGCGAGATATTTGAAATAAGCTTATCCATCATGTATACATGCGTTTATTTAACTACTGACATTCCAGTCTCAGCATCTAGGTATTACTGACACGTGGGCAATGTATGTGAAATACACACAAGCATACACATTCATACACTTGCATGAAACTTTATGTGCAGTGGAGATAATAGTTCCATAAGTGGTTGTCCACCATCTTCAATGTACTCACAAACAAATTACACTGATAATAATTGTAGAAGCAGCCTAGTATCACCGACGATTTCTCCATTTTTGTGGTTGAATTAACTATGCGCTTACAATGGGTAGTAGCAGATAGCAATAAGCTGGGCCGACAAGAAGACTCCAGGACATCTGGACTTCATGGAGGAATTCTGTCTAGCATCATTCAAAACTGGAGATTTCGGACAGAAATTAGTTTGAGGGAGGAGGCAGACAATAGAGAAACAACTTCAGGCGAGGGAGTGAAGACAGGTGATAAAGATGCATACCTGTCAAAGTCAACCAGCGTCAATCATTCACAGAATACGTTTGAAAAAGATCACTTTAGGATCGTATGAGTTACACGCGTCACAGATGATGACGTCAACCAGAGGACGGCGAAAGCAAGACAGATATTTATTGCTCTAAGTCAATATGAAAATTTCCTGCACTCAGCATAAAGGAAAAGATTCGCATTATCACAACTAATATTGATGCAGTCAATGTTTCTATGCTTCAATTGGAACCTAATGAAGTAATCCCAAAAATTATACAGTTTTACTAGCTAGAGGAAATAAACCTGGACTGGTTAATTCTTGAATTATCACAGTTTTCTTCCGAACGGCTCTAAACAGAGCTTGACGAAAACACCCTACAGCAGAGCGTTGTGGGAGGAAGAAAAGAGCGAAGAAAAACTCACAGTCATCGAAAAGAATCTGATCGAAAATGGACACTCATGGAAGTTCATATCAAAATACAGGGAGGAATGGCACCTAAATGGAAACGCGAAATAGATGAAAACAAACAAAAAAACTAGCGTAAAAAGGCGAAGAAGTATCCATAAGAATGCAAGACAGAAATAAAACTGTAACTCCCTTATAGATAAGATTTTATCCTAATAAATCACACAGTGTTGTACAGTAATCTTAACTGATGACGCTTCGAGCACAAACTAGTGCTCATAGTCAAATCAAAATTTGTGTGAGTGACTTGATATGATTATGAACAATAACTTGTGTTCAAAATGTCACTGGTTAATATTACTGTACAACACTGTGATTTATCAAAATAAAATCTTATTCATAATGAAGTTATACTCTACCACAGTGCCCAAGTTTTATACTTATATCAAGAATTAGAGGTGCTGTAAATCACCGAAAGTACGAATTGAGTCATGAAGAATATAAGGGTGAATTCAGCGAAACAAAATCTCCTTTATCGAGGAAATCATCTTCAGAAGCCGTACAGTCCCATTTATACTAAGCATAAATTATATAGTGGTCTATTATTGAGTAATATGGAGTGACAAAATTGATATAATTACTCGGAAGTGGCTTAACAAGTGAAAGTTAAAAGTTGTAAATTACGTGGCACTCAATGGCGCAAATATGGAAAGGTTAAATTTGCTATTGAGTGAGAATGCAGTTAGTTGAGCGTCAACTTAACAATCGAAAAGAGGGTGTGAAAATGTGCAAAAGCAACATATGAGAGTGATAATAGTGAATTAATTATTAAAGTAAAACCAAACTAAACGGTAAATTGAAAAGTGAAAGAAAAAGAAGAAAATTAAAATTTTTTATACGGAACTACTAGAGGAGGTTAAGACTGAGGTAGAATAAGAGACTAGACAAACTTTTTCTATATACAGATTTCAAGGTTGTATTGATGAATTGCCAGCGCCTCCGCCAAACACAAAAGCCGAAACCTGACGCCCTTTGTACCATTTGGCCTCACGTTGTTGGTGATCTTGAAAGATGACTCTGATGGAGCTGCTTGGCTTGAGTTCATCAAGTGCTCGAGAATCAAACTAGTAATTGTCTCACATTGTTCTTTTGCTAACCACGCTGGATAATTTTCAGAGATGCGGTTGCAAAGTGTACACTTTACACGGCCAATATACCTAGCGCCACACGAGCAGGTGAATTCATAAACACACACTGTAATGACTCAAAGTGGCTGTTTACCCTTCATACATCCATTGATCATTTGTCGGCTGTAGAAATTGAACCCTGGCTCAACCATAAAGAAAGCTTTCCTCAGTGATCTGCATAAGCGATTATTTGGGATCTCAGCTGTGGTATCACCTTTAAATTCAACACTCCTAAATGGCAGTTTCTTAGACCCCGTCTAGGTTCTGTCAGGCTTTTGCTTTAACTTCATGGTGTTCTCGACAAATCTTGGAGTAAATCCATTCACTGTAGGGACTTGTCTGAGTCGTTCCAGTTCCCCATCGATTGAACCACTTGAACATATACATTTTATTCTTGATAATAAGGAGTGGATTAGGATTCTCTTTTTTATCAAATGGCTCAAACTATAAAAATTAGTGTACTGACCATGCCGTTTTGGTTTCCTCTAGATCGACCTTTGAAGAGAACCATCAGACCCCCTTTTTAGACAAACATCCAAGAAATGGAATTCTGAGTTCATCTCTATCTTAAATTAAATTATTATTCTTCAGCATTTGTATTATCTTTTCTTCATTTTGTTCCGCTTGGTCTTAGTGGTTCCTTTCTCTTGAAAATTTGTTTTCATCTGACATGACGGATAACAATTTGTCGATGTAGTCTTGAAGATTCATCAGGACAATGCCAGCACCTTTATCGAGGTGGGTCAGAATGAAGTCGTTATTCCTTAAAATTTCAAGCAGTTGCAGTTTGTGTTCGGCTGAAATCAATCTTTTGACACTTGGTTTTGAAGTGGTATACTGACAGCAGCTATTCAATACTTCTGAATAATAATATCACTTATGTCACTCCTTATTATTCAATAATAGACTACTTTACATTTTGGTAAATATAATTATGACTGTACAACCTCTGAAGATGATTTCCTCGATAAAGGAAATTTTCTTCGATTAATTAGAGGTGCATCCAACAGAACATTTAGTGTCACCAGACTCATTCCACTTCATAAAACAGCGCGCTCGTCAATCAAGTCAAAATTAGATAAGTATGCTGCTCATGGCAGTTGCTACTGCGTTTACTAATTGACCTGCGCTTGCAGCAGCAAGTAAAAAGCAAGGCTTTCAAAATAAAGATCACACAGAGAAAGGCATGGTTATTTCGCTTCTCAAAAACCATCGCCATCTAAAGACTTTGGCACAACCTGTGCATACAGAAAGATAACGTGGTTAGTCTCTTATCACCTTGCCAACCGTAATTATTCTAATCTTTTGAATAGCATTCCACTCAAATTTATTTCAACTGAAATGAGTGAAAACATTGTGATAGCTTATCTATGGAGACAGTTATAAGATATATAAACCTATTTTCTACCACTAGAAAACTAAAGAGCGTTAGAACATGGCAGATTTGATATGAGTATATGAAAATTATCGTTCGTCCCATCCTTACTACTTCCAAAAATTCAGAATATTTTTATTTGCTGTCTTAGCTTACTAACTACTTCTATCAGTACGTTGGACGTACTTACCGAGAAACGGTTTGTGAATGCAACGGGACAGATATGTGAATGAACATGATTAAACAACATACTTCACCGAAGTAAATGTTCATCTCTTAATACTGATTTTATCACTAACCCTCATCACTTGGTGAGTCATTAGGAACCCCTAGATTATTTTGTCAGTCGAGTTTAGGACTCTTTAGTGATGATGGCACCGGTGATTGACGCAGGAGCCTCAGCATACGTGGCCAGCCATCTGGTCAACGCCTCCCACAAAATCTTAACTGATTCTTTCAAAGTGATTTACAAAGTCAACAGAAACCTACCAAGAGCAGTATGTTTCCGACTTCTTTGTAATGCAGAAGCCCTCGCAATATGCATCGAGAAGCCGAAGCTGTGTGTTCGAAAGAAACTAGTCCAACCTCTACAACTACCATGGACCTAGTTTGGTATGTTCCATTTGCTTCCGTTTTTTTCTCTTCTTCGTCTTTTTTCCGTTCTCGCTTTTCCATTTGAGCATTTTTTCGTTAGCTGTGTGTTTGATCCTTAGTCCCTCAATCTTCATTAAATTCAACTAATTTTTTCAGTTATAAAATAACAGTTATTTTAAGTTTGTTTTCCATGCTTTTCCTGTTCACATTTATAATAACTATTTTACAGCTATATCTTAATCCTGTGCAATTTTGCGTTTCTAAGCCTCTTGTAATTCATATCAAGTTGAAAACAATTATCACCTTCTATTTGACTTAAAATTATCTCTGCAGCTATCAAATATTAATTTTTTGCATACCTTGTAACTATTTTCTAATCCTATGAAATCTTGTCGCTTAGCTCCTTGTAATCCACATTCCTACCTTCAAACTTTCAGATCACGTTGAAAATTATTATCACCTTCGTTAGTGATATGTATCCATATATATATATATATATGTGTATGATGGTCTCTCTTTCTGTTGCTCTCCTAGTCTGTGACCATTTCACTTTGATGAAACTGTCTCCTTTAACAATGTATATTCCCCTTATATTATATAAAATATGTGTGTTTGTTTGACAGTCTGTTATATTTCGCTATGTATATATGGATCGATACTCCATTATAATTGGCCAATCATGTTAAGACTGTCTGTTGATTTCTTCACACACTTGTTTGGACATACATATATATTTTGCTCTCACACTATTGTGTGATACATTTGATTCTCCTTGTGTTTGGAAAATAGAAGTATCATCGCAAACCTAGAGGTCTTCTGATTTCCGTCTTTTCTTGCGTAAGGACTACTAAATTCTCGACCAGTCCATAACAATAATTTGGCGACGAGTACATAACAGTTAGTATGTGGAATTAAACAAATAATAATTGTACTCATGTAAAATAATCTTTATAAATGCGATTGTGCAGCTTTTGAGAATGAAATCGCCAAAAAATTTCTATACTGAACTTCGTGTTCTCTTCTTTCTAATGTCCATATGGGTATTTTCCATGAACTACTTCTGTCTCCTTCGATCAACTTTCGATTGGATGGCCACGTATGTTGAGGCTCCTGCGTCAATCACCGGTGCCATCATCACTGAAGAGTCCTAAACTCGACTGACAAAATAATCTAGGGGTTCCTAATGACTCACCAAGTGATGAGGGTTAGTGATAAAATCAGTATTAAGAGATGAACATTTACTTCGGTGAAGTATGTTGTTTAATCATGTTCATTCACATATCTGTCCCGTTGCATTCACAAACCGTTTCTCGGTAAGTACGTCCAACGTACTGATAGAAGTAGTTAGTAAGCTAAGACAGCAAATAAAAATATTCTGAATTTTTGGAAGTAGTAGGAAAATGGTGGACAGTGAAGATCAACTAAAGCGAGGATGTCACACTTTACCGGAAACTCATTAACTTATTAAAACGCTTCGGTGGTGTCAACGCTCTAACGAGTACAAATGGACGGCAGCAATGATATCTAATAGTAGAGGTAAAGTATAGGCTACTGTTTAAAGTCAATTTTTTACTACATGGATGTACTCGTTGACAGGGTTCACAACTATCTAGCTTCCCTTCAAGAGTAGCCACATCCCACAGTGGTTTGAGTAGTTGTAAACAAAATAGACACGAAAGGTGTGAGTGAAACTGATGGGGTATTCTCAGATTATTGTCAACCATAATTCACTAGAGAAGTCCTCAATTTTTCGGAGAAGGATTTTTCACATCCCTCCTTTCTTCTTTATCAGTCCGCGGTAGGATATGCTTTGTATAGTGGTGGAAGCCGTTACTGAATTTTCCTGCTCCTTATAATAATGTAGTGGTTAATATATTAAAAGACATTTAGTGGCTTCAGGCTTATAAGGACTAACTGAAATCCTAACAATAAAATATCCTTGTTAAGTGATTCGAACTGTCGACTTTTGAGTGCATGTGCGAAACCTGATCACTACTAATTTCCAATCTCGTGATGACGATCGCCTTTGGAACCAGTTTCATCATTGAGTTGAGATGAAATCTATGTTGGTGCGATGGGCTCATTTAATTATCCAATATTAGCAGATGGTTGCACATCATAAGCAACAGTCACTCAGCATAGTCAAGCTACTGAACGCTTTGAGATCGACATTAAATATGCAGATAAACTGTCAGCCATATGTGACAGGGACTTTGAGGTGAAAAGGATTCCATCATTCGCTATTTCATCTTTACGTCAAAGGCCATTTCTATGCTTAGCATGCTTTGAAGTGGCATAGTGCTTCCAGAAACTCAAGAGGGGTGTATTTTGGAAATCACTGGTCTACCTAGATTGTCTCTGTACCAGAACCTTTCCTTTCTCAGTTTCATACTGTTTTACTCTTCAAATTACCACAGTGAGTCGCAATCTTTTAAAACACACAATTGCAAGTAAATTTCCACTATCTGAGGAGTATTTTACGCGGGAAATTGAGGAATATCATTTTAGGGTAGTGATAGAACATGCTTTGGATAGAACAATGTTGCTTCACATGACGTATTATCGGTTATTATATTATCTGAAGATTTGCTGACTAATTCGCTAAAAATTCTGTAATCTATCTAAATGCAGTTTTCAGAATAAAGTTGTTATTATTGCTGCTGTTAATTAGTTTTGCTTTGTACGAACTTGATAACCGAAAAGAGAATTGCAAAGTGAATATTATTTTACTCTACTGGGAGTTCAACCAACTGAAGAAGTTGGGATAGGTTAACCAAATGTACGTCAGCATAGCTTATTTCAATTTCACTGAGATTAGTACAATTACATCTGCTTTCTTTGTAAGGCCTTAACCGCTGTATTATCTTCTTAAAACTATTCACATATTTATTCGGTAAATGGAAAGAGTATTCCAGGATGTTTTAATATTCTTCAGCTGACTGCTGCATTGACAACTATTTGTGCGTCATTTTACTGTGCATTTTGATTCAAATGAATTTTGATTACGTTTGAACATGGAAGAGGTTTGTGTGCAGTATAAGAGTTACGAGAACAAGAAATGCTTCTATCTAATACCGATGGGAACTTAAGCTAGCATAGTTCTATGCACATTAGTCACTAATACATGGTGGCTTGATATCTGATCTGGTGGAGAGCTAGGTTAGTTAATAGAAGAGCGATGTTTCGGATCCCTTCGCGACCCAGGTTTGTATTTCAGTTACGCATATTTTTATAAACTTATCTGACATTGATAGATGTGCAGATTATAAAAGTATACATTGTTTTATTCGAAATGTTTATTGCATATACGATGAGGAAGTAGTCTATCAGAAAGTTATGAAATGTATTCAGAATCAAATTATGGTATAATTCAAAGATTTCATGCAGTCAATCAAAGTAAATAATCATGGTATCAATGAATGAAATCAAAGTGTCCAACTTATATCGAAGCTATTTCCTCCTTGACCAGTAGATTTGATTCATTACGACGAATGTTATCTAAAAGATTCAAGGTGAGCAAGGGTATTATTTAATATTTTCAAAAGAGGTTATGTAGCAGTTTCGTTTCGCTAAACCTTTAGGTTTATAAGGGATTAAGAAAACAGAACCTGGCTAACTGAGAAACATGTCTGTATGAGATATTTTGAGTTTGAGCGACCCATATGATATTTCCCTACGTTTTTGTGATTTTACATGTGACACAAAGTCAGGAGTGCTGAAATCCGAGCGGTTAGTTCAATTTTGATCTTGATAGGTCGCAACACTTTTCATGTATATACAGCTTAAATTATCAAATCATTTTAAGCTGTGAAGAAGTTTGGAGTGTCCTAATTATATAGGTAAAATCCTGAATAATACCTGAAATTCACATGCACATATTCTTGTTTATTATTTACGCATAACGTTTGTTCAAGTGTTTACGCAAAATAAGCAGTGCTGATCGTCGTAATTTATTCGCTCCTGATATGAATGTCCGTTGAAACTTCCTGGTTACAATTTTTTGTATAGAGTTACAGCAGTTTCTCGGAAACTTTCCATCCAGATATAAATCAAAGAACAACACCATTCAGCAACGTGTTTCTTCTCGATGAATTTCAGTAATTTGGCAACACTGTTCCGAGTCAACACAAGAATAAATTCATTACTGTATTAATGTTTTATGATCCACTTCTCCTGGCAATTTCAACTGCTCATCTGGTTTCATGAGTTTATAGTTTGTGTCCAGAACTTATTACACCCTTCACCAACTAAGTTGTTATTTTTATTGAATGTAAGGAACATTTCAAGGAAGAAACTTTTGGAGAGATTTATATGAATAATTTCTGCAGTTGATGTGTCTTCAGTCAGTCTTGTAAAGGCCGACAGCGTTGACTGTAAAGTATTTTGGAAATTCTGTCAAAACTATAGTGAGCTACAAATCTTCATCAACATTATTCAACATCTATACGCCAACACCACATATGATGTGGTCCTGAGTGGAAACCTCAGCGTTTGACGTGTGAGCACGGGTTAAAATTGCCTGCCCAACTTCCCAGGTGACATTCCTAATTGTGCTGGCCTGCACCATATGGAAGAATTTGGGAAGCGAGAAGACGAATATGTCGGACTGACAATAAGACTCAAGAAGTTATGGACTTCGCGGACAACTTATGTCGCACGTCACAGAATCTCGAAGACTCACGAGCGAATGGATGAGAATTTAGAGGAAGAATATTCTCCGCTGGGCGACAGTCTACTCTATTGAAATGCTCATGCATAACTGTCACATTCAATAATCAATGATTATTGGCTTGTTCGCAACTATATATTGAAACAGCTCGTTTACATACCAACAAGTTAACTATATAAAGGCTGAGAAAAAGACTCACAATAGCTGAAGTACAACAGCTCCAAAAAACACCAACCATCCAATTGAACATTAACTGAAACAAATATGAAAAAATTCATGAATGATTCCCCTCCAGACATTTATGAAAACAAAAACGAAGTTCAGCGAAGAGGCTCTTCCCGGCGAATTCATTTCCCTTAGCCGTACAATATTTATATAATTTATTCATGAAATAGGAGAGTAATTAGCAGTAATGGGTTGCCACAGTCATAATTGATATTATTAGTGCAGCTCCTTTTATACATTGACTAATAATAACAACTTCGATTTTGAGGATTTGTCACTTTTGTTACTACCCTCTTCCATGAGAAGTAAAATTTCGATTTTACAGCTACAGATAATAATCTCGCTGAAAACAGACTCTTCGCTGAGCTACGTGTCAGTTATAGATCAATAGTGGTGAATGCGTCTGCGCCAGCCATTGTGAACGATTTTGAGCTGCCCGTATCACTAATCGTCTCCAGTCGTCATTGGTTCTTTCTAACCCGTGGACTCCGACCAGTCAGGCAGTCTACACCTCCCTACATGTCCTTAAGTAATTGTCACTCATCTCATCGATTGATACCATGTTTTGGTTTGACCACCACTGCCTCTTTCCTCACCTCGTCCATCCTATGCCGGTTAACTCTTCCCGTGGAAAAAAGTGATGAATAGACATGTGTAACACATATTCTAATCATCTTTCAGAGATTCATTCCAAATGGAAGTCGAACACAGTGCCCATCACTGCAAACACCAAAGTTGTATTCGAAGCATTCACACAAGCAGCTGACATATCAGCTGACGCCTAAAAACTTAGTCCATCAGTCAACGGGAAAATCGAAATTTAATTCAATTTATTGTTTTCTTCCTTCACGTTCGCAGTGGAACATAGGACCTCAAGCTAGTGGCTTGAAGTTTCTGCAGCAGTGTTTAATTTAACAGGATGTGGTTGATAGCCTCATTCTCAACCTTTCCTGCCTACCAGCATTACAACTGTTCCACGGACGCACAATTTATTATTAATATTATTTCATATTTTATATTACTTATTTATTCTATTGATTTCAGAGGGGTAATGGATTATTTCAGAAGACGTAAAACAATGATAATTAAAGGCAAGCGAAAGAATATGTATTTGTCTACCTGACTACACATGTAGCACAAAATGATCCTGCCATATACTGTCACATATATTCTTTGGATAGTATAACTAGTAAGATTCTAGACAAGTTCATTTCACCAGAGTAAGGAATGACGGTGGCTACAGACACATAAATACACATTTCACTGGAACACATGATATTGAGGCCATTGAAACAAGTGAAGAACAGGTAAGGTTAAACTAAATATCCCATTGCGACTGTCAGAATATTAACACTCTTAGGGAAACTAAACTAATAAAAGATTTCAGGAATCAAATATATTAAAATCATTGTTTACTTACATTGATATTACACAGAATTGAAAATACTGCGCCAACATAAAATGCTACCGTTGCCGGTGTCAAGAGTATGATACAATTAGATGAGCTTAATTTTCCAACGTAGGTTGCAACCAAGCCAACAATTACGTGTAGTGTAATAGAAACACTGAGAAATCTATTGAGTGCTACAAGGTTATCACTGCAGCATAGAAAAGAGTCAGCAATCAACCAGATTGTAGCCTGATTAAAGAAATCAGAGAAAAAAGCATAATATTAGGCTGGATTCATTGAACGGTTGAGAAATCACTTTAAATAAACATGAGTGAGAAGATAAGAGAGACCAACAGTTGACTAGTGAAGATATTTCGCAGTCCTTTCAGATTATTACTTAGGCAGTTTTACAAAGGTGTTGAATAACACGTGAGAGATTGAGTATGCCTCTTTTGACATTCTTTTGAGCAGATTAGATTTCTCGGCTTCAATTGTTTTCATGAGTTAAGTATTCCTTCAAATTGATGAACATAAGACTGCATGTCATCGTCTGTCTATCAAACGATCCTGCCTTATTTCTGATATTACAGAATGAGAAAGACCCTCATCGGTGAGCTGTCATCCTACTTATCAATCAAACATCTCAGAATTTTGTGAAATGGCCGTGTTACTGAATATGAGAAAGTGTAATGCATAAATGTTTGCATATGTGTTGGCCAAAATTGTATTTATGTATTCAGCATGTATTCCATCGTCAGTAGTCCGTTAGCAGTGCATTACCGTATTCTGTTTCTGTCAGTAGAGTAAAATATAATTGAATTCTCAACTACATTTTCAAATGAACGACTGCCTGAGTCATTGCAAACTTCGGTTATTTAACCAGAAAATTGAAGAGAAAGCAATTCGTTTCCTGTTTTGAGATTCAAAAAGCACATCTTAGTTAATAGTCGTACTGTTGTCAACATACCATCAATGCGGCCAGTGCATAAGCAAACAGTTTTGGTGGAAAGTTACGCTGCTTCTCGATGAACAGCAATATGAGCAGCAACAAACACATCATTCTGAAACAAAAAACAAAGATTTTGCACAAATTATGTAACGCCACAATTTGAATGTGTAGTTTTGTATGAGAATTCGTCTTCTGATCTGTCATGGTGCTTTCTTTGTTATCAACAAATGTCAGGAAAATGACTCCTGGATGATCCTATCGCAATATTTGTAATAATAATGGCATTTCATCTCACTTAATCGAACCGCACATAGATTTTGATCACGGACAGTTGTCTTTTTGCTACTTTTGAAGCGTTTCATGACAGGACTGCAGCATCGATGCTCTGCTTCTACGCAACCTCGACTCGGTTTCATTCACCACACAATGAAGCAATCCTTCGTGCAATTAATGTTACTGCTCAGCGTTATTTCCATTTTGTATTCCTAAGAAGAGATTCTGAACACTTGGAACTATTCATACGAAGGGTGCGAAGTTGCTCTAAATAAGCCAGTATGTACGAGGCCTGAACCTGCATTTAATGATGTGTCGGGCCAAATACCATGCATTTTAAAAAGAAGTTTTGACTCAAGTATTAGCCATGATGGAATGATTTCACTAATTCTAATAAAAGAGGCGATTTGATTTATTCGTACGAGTAATGCTACACCGGGCATAGATGTGAGCGTTTTCATGTTCAGGCTAACACAGTTTGTTCACACACACAGATTGTCAGGAAGATTATTTAACAGTTGTACATACTTTTGTAGGAAATAAGAGGTAATTTCCATCAGGTATACCTACTCTGTTTTCTACCTGATCGTCTGCGCTGATGAGTCCAAGTTATTTGGATTGCAGTGATACTTATTTTCGCTGCAATTGTCAATGAAATGAAAACTGAATTCCACGGTGATAATTCCGTACTTAAATATAACTTCAAGTAGAGACAGAGAAAGTGAACACCCAGAATGAAACTTACATGGTTACAATTGTTGCGATTATGTACTCGTTCGAGACATAAGTATGTTCGCTTCCATCGGAGGTGCTATATTCAAACGTGTGCGTAAATATATTATACACTTCCGTGACATTCATCTAAGACATCAGAATCCATATAAATTAAAGACGGTATGAAGGGTTAAATAGAGAATATTTTAGATGGCTCGGTTGGTTTATCGAATCATGAAGCTGTTGTCTTCCTTGTGGACAACATTATTAAGAGTAAAAATAAGCTCACTTCGTGGTAAAGATGTTGTCCAGAATGACGACAAAAGCTTCACAACTAAATCGGTTAGCTAAGAGAACGCATGACAATACATGACAAAGTTTGAGAAGTCAGCAAAGCCCGTAACAAATCAGCCACACCTAATAGAACTTTATCAGCATATATGTGTCTAAGTGAAGGACAAGACAAGTTACAGATTTTACTGTTTATCCACTAGCTGATCAATATTTGGTTCATAAAGTAGAGATAAATTGATCACTTTTGCCATTTTTTCTGTATGTCACAACTTAGATACTCCTGTGGAGCCTATTTCGTAAGACAAAATTCAGATTTCGCAACAGTACCCATTTTGTTTGCGAAAGGGACTAAATAAGGCGAAATCAAGTGGACAGTAATGGAGCATTTACAGTTATTTATGGCATTTTACTGCTCTAAAACTTCAAATTTATCAATCAGCAGAGGCAATCAGCATCCATCTGTATAAAGTGAGTCCCTATGCGTAGGCTCATTTTCAAATAGATGTCAGACTATTCCCACTCATTTTCTGACTGAAAATCGTAGAGAAATATCGTAGATTAATGCAGCATGCCTCGGTTGAAGCAATATCCCATGAGTTGATATACTGTTCTCTATTATATAACATAGTAGATAGTTTTTATTATAAATCATACTGAAAATTCTGTGTTGTATGTAAACTCATTTTTCACAATAAAGCGATAATCATCAGCACTGTTACGATTATGAACTACGAGTACTGTTCCAAACGTCATATTGCTCCACTGCATGACATATACAATAAGAGAACTAACATGAATCACATGTTGTGAACATTTGTTCTCAACTTTTCAAAACTAACAAGTTTACAAATATTTAATTGCTTCTTCCTTATCAAAGCAGTAAAACTGATACTTCTCATGACAGTCAAAATCGCCTGATTTTGATTTATTATTTTAGACACAATTAGTATAAGTCCGTTATGAAGAATCCAATTAGAGAGTGGAATATACTCCCTTGCTCAATAAACCGTTCACTTCTACATATATTATATCACTTTACTCGTTCTTGCAAATTTCAAAAACACACAATATCCTCATGTTGACCATGGTGGGTTGTTTGAATAGTTCCTAGAGTCGATTAGAATCTCTCAGATTTTTGCCCAGTAGTCTTTTAGCAAACCCACTTAAATATTGATAATTAGCAGTGATTATCGGTTGAGTGGACTCTGGACAATAGAATTCAGTTATACGTATACAAAACATGCCTGTCCCTATTATTTCAAAATTCCAAGATAGATATTTTCGTCTACCTGACGGCTACAGTTCATCTAGTTTCTACAGCAATCGGTGCCTGATGGAATGATGAAGGTAATATGAATATCCCTCTATTAAGTGCCAGAAATAAATAAATCGGCTGTGGTTTTGTGCTCACGTTTCTCTTCATTCAAGACATAAGTGAAGCTCAGGTGAAGCGCATCACAAAATATCTGCAATGTCGCGGCGCTTATGTCATATCTAATTTATTATTACTGATGTCCTACCAGTCACTCTGGTAATAATAATATTAAGAGCTTTATTCCAAACAGTATTTGTGGTACAGGTATGGAATTTTCAGCGTGCATTACAGTATATTGCATCTAATTACCTCATAAATTATATAAGATTTTTAAAAATCAAAAATAAATAAAAATAAAATAAATAAGTTATAAATAAATAAAATAAATATTAAAAATTAAGATGAGAAAAAAAACAGCGTAGAGTATTTCATTTCAAACAATGCACCACAGGATTTGAAATATAAAGTTGATGTGTGGTTGTAGATGAGAACAACAGTGTAGTAGTAACGAGGAAATGCAAAGAAGAAATAAACAACATCGCGCAGAACTTACAATTAGATATGCTCCTCCTCTTATTCACGTTTCAGAAATGCTTAATCAGACTTTAGCGAACTAATTATTTCTATTTAAATTTAAGCTATTCACTATTATGAGACACTTTGATTATAATAGCAAAGATCAAAATATTCCACCTATCCGATTCGTTAAGAAGTCTTTTCTAGGTACTTGGTTAATTTGTTAGACTTGAAGTATCACATAATCTTCTAAATGTTGAATGATGCACACACGGAGAGTATGACACATTCAATTTAGGACAGGCACATTGAGGGGTGTGATGTGTTTTTCTGACCACCGATCACATTTAGTTAATGAATTCCAAAGAAGAATACAATATTCTGTACAAAAGGGATTCTCATCTGAAAATAACATTTCTTGTTTTTTGAATATGAGAGCTAATCCAAGATAACTGAATCTTCTGATAGAGTTTCAGTGATCCCTTCCCAGATATTGGGGTGAAGTTTCAAAACAAACAATTCCTGATCTCTGATCTTGATAAACGCTTGCAGGTGAGTGAAACAGTCTTCTTAATAGTGGTATCACATTATAGGGCATATCTTTACTGTCTACCAAATATACAAGACGGGTCACTGTGACGATCTATTTGTTAAGCGGAAAAATATTTCCCTTTAACTCCTACGCTTTTCTGCACTACAACTGACCAACTTTAGATGTTTTTGAAGTACTCACACGATAAACGAATTCCTTGAAATTTCAATTATGTCACATTTTTGGCCATAAATTCTGGTATACTAAGAATTTCACTGTGACAGTAGAATTTAGAAAATGGGGGGAAATATGATTCCGTCTAAGTTGGTTTATTTGATACAGCACAGTGATACATTATTGCAAACTGAATGACTTTTCGACACAATCATTGTCTGACAATCCTAATATTACTAGGTAGAATCATTCGGTTATGAATACTGTACCACCGTGTGTCACATTAAAGAGACTTATTTAATTGGGAACAAGGAACATATATTTCAGAAATTCAGGGTACGGACATGCACTCCACCTCAGCAACACTGCAGCTATGGAACGATAGTTATTCGAAACCTTCTTAGCAACTAACATTTCCCGTTTTGCAGTACCCGTTGAATTAACGAGGAATCCTTGAGAGTTAAATGGTGTGATGCACTTCAAGGATTAAAAGAACTTACAGAGTTTTGAATCATTGACAAAGTTGCATTCCATAGCATTTTTATTTTCCGATGGTGATATGCAAATAACAAAGTAATTCTGTATTTCAAGTGAATGAATTTGACTTGGTTGTGTTCTCTGAGCTGATTGATTTGACTACAAAACTATCGCTATCTTCCTAGACAGCTGTCTATATGGATCGTTATGAAGAAATACATATTGTGCCTTTCCACAGCTAATTTATGTTCTTGAATTGTGATTCGACGATAGTACCTACTCTGAACAAGAGAATACTTGGAGAATCTCATCCAATTTACTTTGTAAATGGCATTCGTCTTATCTTCTATTGGTGTTTGATCCACTAGTCTACACAATATCGAATGAAGTGATCGTGTTGGATTGTATGCAGCGTCCATCTATATGTCTAAAACTCTATAGCGATACAACCAATTCATTCACACAGAATTCAAATCCACTTCATGCTAAAGGCTGCATTCAAGATATTGTCCAGAAGATCTCCGAAAACATCGCAATTCAACCGACCATCTAAGATACACAATCAAAATCCAAAAGATCAACTAAATATTATCTGGTTGGTTATTTTTTCATTGTTTTTTGAATTCATAGTGAATCAGCTTTCACAAGAGGAAATTATATAACAGTATATCCAAGATAAAATTACTTGGGAAGGAATTTTCAGGAGTTTTCATATGAAGGAAGAAAACACTTCGTCTGTATCACATATTTGAAACCTGCAAAATAGTCATTCCCATGCTCAAAGTGGTTTTGGTTGGTAACACCGTCGCTCTAACGAATGACAAATGATTTTTTTCAGTAATGCTCATGGTGACGTGATTTTCGTTCAGAAAGAATAAACGTAGAAACAAAGACTCGTAATTCGTTTGCGGCCGTGAGTTTTCAATTCACCAAATCAGTTTGTTGCAGTATAGTGTTTTATTTGGATGGAAACATATATATATATATATATATATATATATATATATATATATATGGAATTTGAACGACAACGACTTGTAGCAAAGGAAGTCGAAGGATATCTGCACTTTGCTTGGAAAAATAGGGTACACTCTGAATTGCAATCCCTCATGTATTCGTCCTGTTCACATACAATGAAGTATAGAGAAATGTGAATCGAATATTTAATCCAAGGAATGTTGCCTTTCAGATGGCGACATCCACATAGAAACTGAACACCCTAACATTTTTAGCTTGAGATTGATAGAAAAATGTAGAACAGTCTTTAAACATCGCTAAGTAGTGAGAAATGACGACTTAAATTGCTTCTAGTACTCATCGACTAGCTGAATGATGTTCCTGTTACATCGGTCAGTGATATGATATTTTCATCTGGATTCCAAGAAACCTCAAACAGTATGCAATGTGATAATAAGTGTTACCTAGAAAGAAATGTGATAAGTCGTTAGAAGTGGACCTGCTGTTCTCTCAAACTGACACTACATGAAGGTCCATTCTTACTTCTAATTCAACTCACAAGGATATTCAATTGATCACTCAACCACTAGTCTGAAATCAAGAAATGCATAGAAGAATGTCTAATATGGTAAGCAATAAGTACTCCTAGGAGAAAGAATTACAACCATAAATTTCAGGTTATTATATCCTTCCTTCACATAATCTGTATATTGCTAGTTTAGGAGAGGCAACTATGAGTTTCGATTTAATGTGTAAACTAGGTACAGGATCAGATTTTTCGTCTACAGACCATGTGTCTGAAACATGTTGCTAACCTGTCCTAACAATGAACAACTTATCCCTCAATTTGATGTCAACGTATTCACATTTGCAGCTCGTTATTCAGACTGCAAACATTGATGAATCTAAAACCAAGTATGATCAGTCGTGATGACAGAGTTATCAAGTGATAATGTTCCTATTTTACGCTTCCTACTCGTTATATGAATATAACCGCCTATTCAGGTTTATTTACCCAAAGTTTGGTTGTACATACTCACATATAACAGTGTATTTTGTTCTGAAGTGGTTACACTTAGAATATGCGATCACTTAAACCATATTTATTTTATTAATAATGCTGTTTCTAAAGTATTCACAAGCCTTAGTGCATAGTTCACATAATCAAATTTTCTCAGTGAGAATAAAAATGATCGAAGCTATTTCACATCTTAAGACTTAATCCATGGTTCAAAGGTTCTAGACTGACTTATAACAACAACAATAATAATAATAGAATGGATTACACTTAAAACAATTCGATAAATAAATTTCAAGTGTTTTTGTGGTGAATGCAATTGTTTTCACACGTTTCATATAACAAAATATACACATCAATAGTAGGGTAATTAGACTTTCATAATTATTCTTAAGAGAAATGAGTCTGTTTTTCTGTGTTAACTGATGAGGAGATAGTTGCAGGTACTGTAGTCTGTCACTAATATAAGTGGTGACTTTGTTGGGAGTATAGTTACCACGATAAAGATTGCTTTAGCTATCTTTTTCAATAAATCACAGTCAAATCCTCTGATGTCCTGTTGAGGATATCGACAAGGAATGTTCCTATGTCTTCCGTGTGGAACATAGGGTTTCAGCAGCACATCCATACCCTTTCCTATTGTTTGCCCATAGACTTTCACCTCCCTATCTCACGTTCTCCTTTTTGTCAACCTCGGACGCCCAACTTGTCGTTTCCCATTTGAGTTCCATTGCAAGGCTTTGCTCGAGATATTCATCAACGATGTCCTCAGCGTGTCTGATCCATCTACATTTTCCTGTGAATATTTATCAAGCGACATGTTCTCGATAGGTTCGTTACCACAGTCTTATGCTGCAAATATATTAAGGTTATCCGATTTTCAATATGAAGCCAGCGAAGGCGGCTGTTGATAATAGTCTGCCGTATCCTGCTGAAAGTACCACTCACGCTGGGTAGTGCAGAAGCAGTGACTGATTTAAAATTGATGTTCGAAATCCCACCGATTTTCTTTATGTTGTACTCAAAATATTTTGAACCTGATTTTGGGGTGACAGTGGTCTGTCTCTCCTTCTCGATTCTGGTTGTCTTCGACACTCTCGACCGTGTTGTTTGTCTATGATTCAAATAGTGCTGCCTCGATAAGGAAAGCAAGTGATTTCTTTCAAGTTTTTCCCTTTGTTAATGCTTTTTGCTCGTTGTCTCCGACTGCCTCTTAGGTGTCTTCACCACCTCCGTTTACTGCATATGTACTTGAAATCCTGTCCTTACTTCCAGCTTTTACCAGCGAATTGATATTTTTCCCTGTATGTTTTCAAATTTTTGACATTAGACATAAATCGTCCGAGAAGTCAAGTTCTTCTAGAGCCTTCTTATCGGTGAAGCTTATTCCTGAATTGTCGCTCCCCACAGTCTCACACATACTCCAGTCCATCACAACCATCAATATCACCATGAATAGTAGGCAGCCTAGTCTTACTCCTGTCTTCACTACTGATGCCGCACATCACAAAACACCATTCATTTGTTAAATCTTGAAGACTTGGAGGGAATGGTCTGATATCTGAAAAAATGGATTTTTAACGTTGCAATTATACTTGCAACTAATTTCAGAGATATGCATTTAATGAAAGAATGCATTCAAGTAATATTTTACCGTTATATTTTCCAAGTCTCTATCTGGAACAAACAAGTGTGAAAACCCCAGATGTCGGATGAGTTGCTTAGTAGAAATAAAGAGTTGAATCCAAAGTCCACTTACTTGAAAGAAGTGTAGAAAAATAAACAGAATACCACTGACGACTACCAATTCGATTGCAACATACAGTATAATCATGTTCACATTCTCTGTGTGCCGTTCCGTTACAAATCCAATTGTGACTGCACTGGCAGCAAGAATTATCGCTGCAGACCATGCTAGTAGAGTCCATAATCCTAAGGAATAAGTTAGACTGGCGACCGCGAAAGAACTTGAGAACACCTGTAAGAACAAAGGTCCATTGTAAGTCAGTTTTCGTGAATAAATATTCACGTCAACATGTTCACAGTAATTTTCTCTTTTACGAGTTTATCCCAGATTGATATCAGTTAGAGAACCATTGAAAACCAGGGAGTACTGGACAGCTGCCGATGATTCCGGAAACTAGGATGAAACAGCAGTTGTCCAGTTCTCCCTGGTTTTCAATGGTTCTCTAACTGATATCAATCAGTGATGAACTCGTAAAAACATAACTTATCCTTACAAACCAAGCTATAAAAACATAGCAATTTTCGCGATAAACTTGGATCTATGAAAGCCTTCAATGAGTTTTCAGTTTTAAATTTTCAAGAGGTTTGTAAAGCGATCCATCTTCGCTGTGGGTGAGGCAAACAATGTGAATAGCATAACAGGTCTCCGGTGTAGTGGAACTTAATTTATGCAGCCGAATCTAATGGAAAACAGTAGGCTTAACTAATGTGGCTTTGATTCAAACGAATATTTAGTGTGCTCATCATTGAAGGTCTTTATATTTGAGGATATTTAAAGATGTTGTACACTATTCAGTAACTGATGAAGACATAATTCACCGGGATATTCAACGTGAACTCTTTGTGGATTGACAAGAATTTTCTTCATGTGACGCTGTAAAAATTGACTAAGTACAACCTACGCATTAACAGCATGCATACAATTAGTGATAAGTTGTCAGTCCATACACGAATCGGAAAAAACGATCGAAAACTCATTCGCAGTTCATTTATTATTACATTCGTATGCAGCAGTTATGTGTAGCTCAAGGATTGTGGTTAATTCAACATGTGACGTTCAGTGTATAAGTTCATGTAAACTTCTGCCCTGAACTAACTGGAAGCATTAATCAATAAATCATATGTGATAAGAGACGTATGAAAAAGATTCCCTCACATTGTGTGAGCACTGTTCTTCTGATCTGATTTCATTATCGTAGGTTCAAAATGTTTTGTGAATAGACATTCAAAAATATACAATATATTCACAAATGTGGAGCTCGACAAATATTGAGGTGCGGGACTTATTTTCAACTATGTAAAACACTTCTGCACAGTGACACTTACTCGAAGCAGAAAGCTCGACGGACAATATCAGTACATTCTTCTGTTCAGTAATTCACCTATCTTCCTATCCTCAAAGAAGCAGGCAATCATTGTTAACACGGAAAGCATGTTCTATTTATTTATGAGCTGTACTTCGTCCATATAGACTAGAAATGCTGCTTTCAATCTAAAATTCGTGCATATTTAACTGTTTTCAATAATCGGTGCGTTTCATAAAAGTAACACACATACAAGGCATGGCAGAAAACAGAACTTACAGTCAATGAAATGAGTACATAATTCATCACAGGAATTTTTTGAAGTTTCTTGACCAGAATCAATACTGCCATGGAGATTACACCAACAACTCTGAAGTAAGAATAGGGGATATAGTTAGCCAGTATACATTAAGTGATAATAAGCACATCAAAAAGTCTGCAGTAACCCTTTTACCATAGTAATGTCACTAATAGTGTTCGGGTACTCATGCAATAGAGACAATACATATCATTATTGAAGTCAAACATTTGACTAACTTTCAATGAAGTTTCGAAAAACTGAATTAATATTTATATTTCAAACAACTCACAAAGAGGTGATTGGCACGTATAGTATATAAAACACATATTGAAGAACTCCCCTAAAAACAAAGAGATGCGTAGGAAAGTTGTTAAAATGCAGCCTTACACATTCGCTACTAATACCGTGATTATCACCGTCACTGCCACCGTTATGCAACAAAAGACGAAGTACTTGAAAGAAAATGTAGATATTTTCTTTTAGTTTCCAATAATAAATTACATACCACTTCAATAAAGCTTGTCTTGGAATGTTCCTCATCCATTTCCTCACGGAGTGAGGAGTTGTCAATATTCTCACCAACACTTGATGTGTCGTTCATGTTCACTGTTTTCAAATGTATCCGTAAATGAGACATTCGGAATGATTGTTAATTAAAATATTTGAAGGGGATAGCAAGTCACTTTTACAAAATACACACATGGAAATATGTTCTACTTGAAACTGAATCGAAATACATATTTCAGTATAAAATACGAGAGGGAAACGTCGAACACCACTCTGTCATACTTCATCCTCCATTTCATGAAAACATAAAACGATTTTCATTAACTATCTGTTGTCGAACATCTTACTCAACAAGCAGCTGATATCCATTTAAGAGAACATTCATTGCTCACTGTGGTTATCAACTTACCTCAGTTCAAATACAATTGAAGTAAAATAAAACACTGTTACCTGAGCAGATATCAAAACACGAGTGGTTTTGTGTGTCTGGATTCTTTCACTTCAATGTCTTAATCTAGTGATCAATAAAATGTACCTATGAGATTAGAAACTGATGTGCTCAGCAAACTGTAACGTGTTCCGTATTCACCTGAATTTTGGAGTTAATTCGTTTTTTCAACTTGATAAACTGATCAATGTCAGAGGATGGTTAAACCTACATTATTTCATATTCACCGATTAGCATCACGTTGTATATTTATTCACACTTGACAGTCATAGGGGATCGGTGACTGGATGACATTTCGAGCTTATTTTACTGCCGACAGTCATGTCAATTTATGCATGGCGTTTAAGTCTGCTTTATACATTTTTGTTATTCCTCGTATTATTCATTCTAATTTTTCATATAGCCGGTGTAGGCTTAGTGTCATTTCGACTGAATTTATTTGGTTTCAATTCAGTGAACAAATATTCACTGTCTAAGCTTCCTCTTCACATAAATATATCACTTTATAATAGTTCACCCCACCCCAGACTATTTTTTTAGTAATTATAATCTGAAGAATATCTTCATTTCGTTGAAGAATTGTACAGTGTTTACTTGGGAGAAAGTTAAATCATCGCGCAAGTTTATATATAGGTCATTTGATATAACTCGACGATTAAAACAATGATAAATCCAGGTGAAATTAAGCATTTTGGAGGAAAGTGATTTCGATTTAAGCAGGCCGCCTTATTCCTTGCGCGAATGCATGCATGTGAATGTACTGTATTGATCTGAATATTTTGCACATTGCTTATCTATATCCAGGTAAATGTCTATTCCACGGTTATCTTAATGACTTTGATCTATAAGTTGCAACAGCGTAACTGACCTCATAGTCGTTCTGTTATATTCTGTAGATTCTGTTATTTTTCCAAATTGCATCCCCCACTCTCTCTGAGCCGACAACTTTATATCTGCGAAGGTTGGTTGCTTTAAATACTTCTTTAGGAACTGTGTTCCTTTCCCATATATATATATGTAGCAGTATTGTCGGCGCTTTCAATGCCTTATTTCCTATATTATTTTCCAAATTTTCACTACCAGTCATATTTTGCTTATTTGTCTTTTTATATTTTTGAATAACATGCTATGGGAAGTTATTCAATATGACTTTCTTCTTCGTTTGCTTGATCGCATTATTCAAATCATCCGATTTACTTGTTGGCTTCCTGGCACGATCAAATAGACACTTAAATCATCCATTACCGATTCAGGGTAAGCTGAGTCGAAGTCTAATTATCAACGAGAATTTGCTGGTTTTGTATCCCGTTTACATGTTTTCCCTGCATTATACAATACAGGCCAGGCTTACTTACCCTATTCGTTCATTTTTTAACTCAAAAGTCAATGGGATTCCACAAATCACTAGGTTTACCTGTGTAGGAAAATAAGAGACATGTGCAAACCATATCAGAGAGAACGTTTCAGCTACATATCACCAAAATTACCGAAGAGACGTTTTTAAACATTCGAAAAGCCCAACGTTCGGGACGTGTGATAGCTAGCGTATTCCATTTGAGAGTAACTGATAGTAAACAAGAGCTGTGCTGCACTCCGACATTTTACTGTGATTTATGTCTCAAGTATTCACAAATTGTGTACATAATTCAACAATTTTAAAAAGCCTTTCCACGTGAAATGAGATAACACTGATCAACTGAATGGACAATTTTCTACAGCCAGTTCACTTTATTAGTTTGAATAAAGAAAGAACGAACATAATTTCAGGATAATATGCGACTGTTTTATTTCATGGATTTCTTCAACTGCCTGCATCCTAAATAAATCAATTGTAAGTAACGAAATGGTGTTTGAACATTACCTTTTACAATGACTTCAAGCTATAGACAGAGAGTATACGCGACATAATTCCAAAGATGATGTAAGTAGACAATCACTTGGATTTATAACAGTAACGTTTTATATAGTAATTAGAAAAGTGGGTGGAATTCAGATTTCGCTTGGAATTAGGGATGGGTTACAGACAAAATATAAGGTGAAACAATGAAATAAATTTATACATATTATCATACAGGGTTCAGGAGGATGATGGTGGGGTGAATTGTGAATTAAAAACGCATAGAAAGTAAAATAATTCAATTTATTAGACTTGAAAATTGATTGGAATGTTTTGCAACGGAAAAAAATAATTACGGGTTAGTGAGAGAAAAGTCGCAGTATCTTTCTCTGTGCATAGGTCGTGTCAAAGTCTTTTGATGCCGATGATTTCTGTGAACGGAAGTAATCATGTTATTTTTGTGTGTCGATTTTTTGAAAGCCTGACTAATTTCCACTGTACATCCTGCGTCAATTAGGTGTCTGAGAACTGTGCTTGAGAACACGTCGTTGCCTTTCAAAAGCAGACCTTTAAGGATATGCTCGGAGAATCTAGTAGAGACTCTCCTCTCTGTCCGAACTACATCCTTGCTGCTGCAAGTGCAGGTGAATTAATCCATGCTGTTGAAGTTGACATGAGCAGAATACTTATCTACCTTTGTTGAATGGAATGAGTCTGGCGTCGAGAAATGTTCTTACTAAAGCATTTATAATTCCTGTTTCCGTTCTTATGGATACTTTTCCGCTTTCGTACACTAGACAGATAAAAGCTAGTTTATTTTCATCAGTTTGGCGTTTCGATCTATGAGGCAATCCTCCCTATATTTTGATATGAACTTTCGAGGGTATCTATTTTTGATAAGGTTCTCTTCTAAGACTTGCTTTTATCTTCTGAACAAAGTGCATTTTTTCTTCTGGAGAACGTCTATATCAGTCAATGTTTGAAACCGTTTTCGCGAATGCTGTGATAAGTCAAGTATTCATCAGTTCACGTTTATTTCCTGAAGGTGATGAAACTGTTTTGTTATTTTGATCATTCCATCGAAGTCGAAGCGGGATAGAGAATCACTGACTGAATCAGCATTGATAATGATGATGTGAGTCTTGTTCTTTTTGCTGAGTGAGGGAAATTTACACACTGACCTAAAGTAATATATATATATATATGTCTTCATTACTTGGTCCTCTCTTTCACATTGTCATCTTAGCTGCATGCATTTTATACGATTCTCAAATGAAATTCTTCAAACGGATTCTATAGGTGAATGACTCTTGTTGATTTTGGCAGGTGGACATATTGATCACCTCTGCCTTAACTCTGCACATTTGAATTTGTTTCTTCATGGTCTGCCTCTTCCGCCTAATTGATTTCCGTCCTAAATCTCCAATTTTGTATGATGCTAGATAGAATTATTCAATGAAGTTCAGATGTCCCAGAGTCTTCTTGTCGGTCCGACTGATTCCTATCTGCTGACTACTCATTGTAAGCTCATGGTTCCCTGAACCTCAAAATTGGGGATATCGTCAGGGATAGTTGGCTGATTTTCTGTTACTATTATCATTAAAATTTGCTTGTGAGTAGAGTGAAATTGGTAAACAATCACATATGGAAATACTATCTCCACTGCAAATCTACTTTCATGTGAGTGTATAAATGTGTATGTTTGTGTGTATTGCACAAAAATTGTTCACGTCTCAGTAATATCAAGATGTTGAGACTAGAACGTCTGTAGTTAAATAAACACATGTATACATAATAGATAAGATTATTCCAAATATCTCACTGTGAAGTCCGATTATTAACTGGCGGACATTTCAACCAGAATTGATTTCTCATATTCATATCAATGAAGTCACACTGTTTCACAGTTTGTGTTTTATTTATTTTCTTTCTCTCTTTGTCTCGTCAACCTTCCCATGTTGTTTGTTGCCACCTTCCACATCGTCGATACAGGCGTGGCGTCATTCCGATTTCACATGTGCAGTGTTGAATCGATAAACAAAGTCTCAGTGACTGACCTCTTTTTCCAACTAACTACGTTACTTTTTAACAGTCTCAACCTGTTCCATCCTATTTTAGGATTACATGCAAGTGAATGCAGTGCAGTGGCTGAGCTTTCTCTAGGTTATTTATCGTGGCAGTGTCAATTATTCGAGGATAAGCTAAATTTCTACGTTACAATAATCTAGTGACCCCGATCTAGCTACCAGTCAAACAGCCTCTTTATCTTGTTTCGTTGTAATTCTACTCTGGTTTGTACCAATTCTTTCCAGGCCTTCACTGGTGGCCACCGTGAAGATATTTTAGACAGCGCACATCACTGACTCATATTGATGAAATCTTTCTACAAGGAAGACATACAGCTCTTCTGGTCGAAAACCGAAGGATGAGGAATGAAAATTTTTCATTTGACTGCAGATATTTCCAAAATTTATTCTCGTATTCATTCTTGTCTAACATCTTACGATGTTTTTAAATGTCAGACACAACGAGGAGTTCTGTAACTCAAATATATAAAGAGAAATATGGAAATGTTGTGAACATTCAGTATAATTTTTAATTGTGAAAAGAGATAATGGTGATTCCCTTTACCTTATGTATCCACTAAACATTCGTCACAT